CATTTTAAAAGTGAATAAAATTGTCATTTTAGAGGATCCTATTTGTTTTCATGTTCTGTTTTCACATTAAGGATGGGTATTTGGGTACTCAGTTATCTGATGATATTGTTACAAATCTGTCTTACCCAGGAAATGAACTTCGTCTGTATGGAAGTAGGCTTGAGAATAGATATGAGTAATTGGGGCAAGGTTTAATAACCAGGATTTTGTTAAGGCACTTCTCAGCAACATCTTGACTGAACATTACAAATCCAGAAACTTCAAAATTAAGCTATTTTAAGTGAAGTGCTGTTACAGCATCCAAACAACTTCAGTCTAGTCCTTTCGCACTACAGTATGTCCAAACAACTCCAGTTTTCACATTTTAGAGAGCAGAGTTGATTCAGATCAGTGTAAACCTTTGAGTTCAGTCAGAAAGGACTTGATTTTAGCCTGAGTGGTCATTCTATTTGTACCTAAGTTTTTGAAAGCATAGAGGGGGTGTAGTACATATGATGTGAACATGTGATCCTTCTGTGTCCCGTGTTCCTTTGATGAAATAGTGCTGTAATGCAGATAACACTTGAGTTCTCAGGGACTACAGCACACGTCTATTACAACTAGCTATGGAACAGCTGGTAAGGCCATCTACCATGGCATCACTGCACTTTACTTCCTAGAGTGTCTGGAAGAGCCTCACTACCTTGGTGTGCTGCCACATTTAGCCTCGTTTTGTGCATTTTTCTGCTGCTGGTCTAAGTCAGCTAAGCTTTTTTGAATCCTTACAGGAGTTAGGGAGTTCAGCTCAGTGATGTGAGGTATTTCAGTTTGTGTTTAGTGATGTTAACGTGGTACATTCCTTGTACCTGTATATTTCTCCATAACCCCATGCTGCAGTATCCTGGATGATTAAGAGTTGTTACACTGCATTTAAAGATATAGGAAATAATTTGCTTAAGTGACATTAGTTGTCCCAAAGTAAAACAATTTTAATTGCTTTTTCAGTCCAAATATTTGTCAGGTATTACAGAGAAGTTGACCGTGGTGAGAATTTTGATTTTCAAGTGCTGAATGATCTTCTCATTTGTTTGCTCAAGAAATGTTTGTTGCAAGAATTATTCCAGATGCTGAATGTAACTGCACAGATTAATACACTAGTAAGTGGCCTTGAAATACTTTGGAAATCTTTCACCCACATTTTCTCCATTTGGGGGTTGATTGGTGTTTTTTCTTTTTTTTCTTTTTTAAGGAATGCTACAGTACTTCTTCTAATATGTTCATTTAGTACTCAGTTCTTGGAAAAAAAAAGAATCAGATGTTTCTGTTTGAATAATTGCTGCCTTTCTTGTTGAACAAGATATAAAATCATAAAACTAATGGAGCTTTTTTTTTTTTTTTTTTAATTAGCCAGCTTTAGAAGTTCTTCTGAGAGTTTTTGAATGTGTGGCTTCTTTGAATATAAGAGATGCTGTGCCTACACTGATCAGTACCTTTTGTAAGGTATGAGCTTGATTGTGCTGCTATTTGTAGGAATTTTGGAAATACTTTGCCTGTTTTAAAATACAAAGATATTTCTTAAATATTCTTTTGATAATATTGTTAAAAAGGAAGATTGTGGCTAGCTGAATTTTAGTGTGGGTTTCCATTTATCCCTTCGTTTTTGACTGAGATTCACAGCAACACATTCTTCCTACTCATACTGGCCTGCCTGTGGAGTCAATTAACATGATGAACACGATGACTTTCTTTTTTTGTTTGCTTACTTTTCTTCTCCATTTGATATTACAGCTCGTTGATGCTGGGATGTTTCTTGAGTATGAACATTTTAACTACATAATTAAACTCCTTCACCAATTGCAAGTTTCGAGCCAGGAAATAGATACTGTTTTGAACATAAAATCCAGGTACGTCTTTAAGGAACTATTTTGTAATTATATCTGTTTAGTTCTGTCTTCAAGCTTGATTTTATAAATCTACGCAAAAGCTTTAAAGGTGATGAGAAAATGCAAATTTAGTGTTTTAGAGGAATATACTGCCATATTATGCCTACTTGTATTTTAAAATGCTGTCAATCTACTGTGTTTCAGAGGTCAAGGATTGATATTCAAAACTTGGACTGTGGCTGCAGTTATGATTAGTCTTTTCAGTATTGGTTGTTACAGTGCATTCTGGTGGGATGGTCTTCTTAGCTATGGAACAAGTTTGTCCCACAGTAGTTGAATTAGAAATGTAATTGTTTAATATATATATTTAGCCAGCATAAATGAACGATACTTCTTCAGTTAAAAAAAAAATGTAGACAGTGAAAGCATTATTTATCATATGAAGTTGTTTTCTAGTTTACTGTGAGTCTGCAAAAATGTTTGTACCAAGATGAATGTGGAGGAGGGTGTTTTTTTTCCAGTGCTGCTGGATTGTGCTGAGCAGAATGTGTAATTTCAAAACTATTGATGTCTCCCTATTACTTGCCCCAATATATTTTTCATCATCTGCATCATATACACATGCACAAGTTGAAAAATTGACTTTGTTGTTCATAAAACAGGCTTTGATTCTTGGAGGAACAAACACATAGCATTTTCTGTAATAGCCTGACACTGTTTCAAGGGAGAACACCCTAGAAATTGTTTGCTGCTTTTCATACCTCCCATAGAATACCTTCCAACCAATGGATCCCAGTGTTTTACCTATGTGTTTTTATCTATTTTAATTATGTCTGTGTTTTATCAGTTTACCACTGCTGGAGGTAATTTCCCTTTTCAGATTAGGGTTCTCATTTGTAGAGGAATTACCCTTTCCAAGTAACCTCAGTATGTGTCTGTTTTCTGTACAAATCTGAGAAACAGTTTGTGTCTGTGAAAACTGAGCAGCCTTGTTGCTTAGCTGTATGTCTTAGCTTATTCACATGTAGGAGATTTATCTCTTGTTCCAGCAGCAGCAGCATCAGAAGAAACCAATCCTAGGTATTTGAAGTTAAATTGCACTTTAGTTTGTGTAATGAGCTATATTTTTTAACCTTTGTTTCACAAACATGTATAATACAGTCTGTGTTTACTTAATGTATTTCAAGTCTTATTCCTGCCTTTTCAGTTGCATTTATACTGAGATGAGGGAGTATTATCTGTGAAAATATCTCACTCCATTTATTTGTATATTCATGTACTATCTTGTTTTGATATGATTGTAAATGTCTGTTTTCAGTGTTCAGTCTGTGTGTTATTTGTAGTAAATCAAATAAAAGATTACATCATTTTTAGTCCAAATATAATAAATGGTTGATCATTTCCTTGTAGTTTAGTTCAGTAAGATGTGTTAAAATTAAGTATTAACGTTTTTTTCTTGTTGAAGATTTCAGGAGATGCATTTTAAAAGCAACTGGCTTTTTGACTTTAATTTGGTAATGGCAGAATTTCAGGTACAGTGTGTGCATGTTTCAGGCTTTTTGGAATGTTGAAGCCATGAATTCTATGGAAAATAGCTGTTTTTATGTCTTTTTAATCTATTGATAATATTTTCTTATGTAAGCCTATTTTGGGGAAATATTAACATGCAGGGAAAAGCTGCCTTTGACTTTTCTGTGATGTCATTTTTTATTTTAATTTGCATACTTGTAGCTTTTATCTTACACCTAATTTTAAGCAACTGTTTGTTGTGCTTGTAATTGGTAGTGATTTATTCTTTCTCACCAAAAATTGTTTAATACTTTATTCAGTGGTTAGAGTTCATACCTTGTATAAAAAGGCAAATTATAAAAGGATGTAGTTGGTAACACTGGGTAGGTTATTTTGAAGAATATAAAAATGCTGGACAGTAACTTAATCTGAAAAATGCAAAGACAGATTACTTCTTATGCACAGTTGTAACGTAGTTTACATATTATTGCACAGATCCTGAAGCCAAAGTTTAAGGAGAAGATCAGGACTGGTTGCAGCTTTGTCCACTCAGTTCCCAAAAGTCTCTATAATTCCTTGTTGACGTGTGTGTGTAACGGATCTCAGCTCAGTTGGCTTACCTGCAGATGTTGCACCACAGCACTCTGCAGTTATCTGTACCCTGAACCACTTGTTTTAAATTTAACTCTTCTGTATATGCCACTAGATTATAGCACATTAATATAACCTGAGTCCTAAATCTCTCAGAAAAGTTATACCTGAGTAATCAGTGTCTCATGAGGACCACACATTATTTTTAGTCCATATTGCTAGGAAGATTCAAGTTAACTTACTCCTTGATGAAGTTGGGTTGGTGATGCTAATAAAATTGTAATGATTTGAGAAAATATGTAATGAAAATCTGAATTTTCAGAGAGAAAAAGATAAATTACTGAAGTTGAATCATAGCATCATTAGAAACGTCTATATTTCATTACAAACTCTTCACATGAACTGATACAGACTCTCTGATCTATTTCTTTTTGAAAAGGGTAGGTAAGGGAAATGTCATCAGAATGCATTCAGTAGTTTCATAGGACACGGGCTATATATTAACCTTGCTGTTTTCTGCTTAATTATATCTTAGTTATCTCTTGAATTCCGTTATATTTTCTGTTTGGTATTTTGGAAACAAATTTGCTTATATTTGTCACTCACCTTCTTCACAGCATTGCAAGGAAAAGAATGATTGGGCCAAGCTGGGAGCTTTGTACGTTAATGCAAGAACTGCATGTGAAAATTCTGATGATCTTCAGAAACTGTCTTTATGTATTACTGAAATACTAACAAAAGATTCTGAGAAAGACAGACCAGGAGTTCCTTTTTGTGATTTTGCTGATGCAGGTAAAACTAAGTTGAAGTAAACATTTAATTGCTTATCCTATTCTTGGTAGAATTTTTAAGAGGTAAAAGCCAAAACATATACTGACCGTTTCCTTCATATTAGTTAATTTGATTGTATACAATATTCAGAATTTCTTCAGGCACAAATACAAGCAGGTGAAATGATCAATAGAAACCATTTTCTAGTAAAGTCCACGGTGCTTTACTAGAACACCCCTTCTGAAGAACACACATTTGAGCTTTCTCCTGTTAAGGAGAGAAAGCAGTATTGACGGTCTTTAAGAGATAACGTCATGTTCTCAGAACAGTGGCAAGAAAGTATATTTCAGTATTGTCCTCTGAAGTGCAACACTCTTACTAGCATAAATTAACTTCATATACTTGTATGTATAAAAATGCATTGACTGCGGTTACATCAGTTATGTATCTTTTGTTATGGTTTGGTTCTAGCATTTTGGATTTTCAGAATTATTTGTTACCCTGAGCAACTAAGAATTTAAACAAGGGCTTGGTCAACAATACACCTTCTAGTTTTTTTAATACACAGCATGTATTCTGTCCCCCTTTCCTCCATATGCCTCTTCATTTACTTATCTGCATCCTTCCTCCCAGTAAAGTTGTAGGAGACTGAGGCTCAGTGTTGTGTCAGAGGGATATTAAGCCTTTGTGTTAAAGATGACTTAGACCTTTTTCAACCTGCATTAACTAGTAAGACCCGATGACTTATTTCAATTAAGTGACACAACCTTTCTGATCACAGACTTTCATGCTGCAAAACAGCTATCACAACTTCTGGTTGTAAAACATATGGAAGGCTTTGATGGGACTTGAAACTTGGTCTTAGTTATTTAGAGCAGTGGTCTCCACACTGTTAGGCAATCCATCAGTAAAAAAAAAATTTAACACTTGCCCCCAACATACTATATGTGTATTTATTTATTTGTAAATTATGTACATGTATCACTGCACTAATATATTATGTATATTCTAAAACATGCACAAAAATGTAAATTAAAAAGAAGATGGAGATAATTTTATTTAACTTAACATTGGTACAAAAAAAAAATTTCTTTCCATACCTGAATGGATTGCGTGTGCACCACCCCCACACTGGAGACCACTGTTCTGCAGTACCAGCAGTGCTTCCAAAGTGGTTAAATAAGATGGTTTGGAAAACCCTGCAATCACACAGTTCTGTAATTGCCATCATTCAGATGTGTCAGAAAATGTAAGCTTACTTTAAAAATGATGATGTTCATAAGCTGTGCCATTGCATGCCCAGGCATCTTATGGATAAACTAGAGTACTGTCAAAGAGTGTCTGGATAAACTGTTGTTTTTTACTCTAATTTTGGTTGTCAGATTTTAAAAAAAATTATTATATTTAATGCCTAATATTTCAGAAAATGTCTGCAAGTGCTGTGATCTGTAAGTTCTTTAAAGTTCCTTTACTGGTAGAAACAAAAATAATGTGTATTTTTTCTTTCTAGTAATAAAAAATTCCCAATGTAATGAAGCAGACAGAATTTTCATTGGAAGAGCTGGGATAAGTGTAATGAATTCTTATCGCAGAGTGCTGCAGTGGATAAAGGTACACTGGACTATAGTAACCTGACTTGAAGAAAAAGAATGAGTCATTTATTTATTAGATATTAAACTGTTTCTCTAGTTTAATGTGGCTGGGACGTGCCACTTGCCTTCTCATGGTCTACATCCTTCTTAGTTGCCTATCTGGATCAAAGTATTTTTGTATTTCAGAGTATTTCAAAGAAGACACTGACTTCTGAACTTCGCATGTGTTGGGATTTTTTTCTTGTTTGCTTTGTTAATAGAGTGGAAGGAGTTGCTTGTGAGAATGAATATGCTTTTGATTTATTTTTCATGTAATACATAATTATGACTTTTCTACAGCAAAGTACACACAGTTTGTAGAAATTGTTTTCCTTTTAGTGATAGACATACAAGGTATGCAGTTCAGTTCAAGACGAAAAACACATAAATGAACATACTTCTGTCTGGGTAGAGTTCATTATAACCTTGTCTTGCAACCTAGAAACTTGATTGTTCAGGTTCAGCTTTACCTTTTCTGCACCACAGGTGAGTCTGGACCAATAGTGTTGTTCTGCAGAAATGTTACTTTCTTCCGTCTGGCAATACTGTTCTATTCTGAGACCATCCAACTCAAGAAATTTTTCCTGCCCTGATTCTTCTGAACCTGACTTCAGGTGGAATGGATAAGATAAGATCAAGAAGACAGAAGAGAGTCATAGCAGGGCTGCTACTGACTGCACTTAGTGAAATGCTCATTACCCAGAATGTTACTAGAAGTGCTTTTCTTCTCTTGACTCTGGGTCCTTATCAGTAGATAAGGAATTGGTTGGAGCGGTGTTCCCCAGGGGTCTCTCTTGGGCCCAGTACTCTTCAGCATCTTTATCAGTGATGTAGATGATGGAATTGAGTGCGCCCTCAGCAGGTTTGCTGATGACACCAAGCTGAGTGGTGCAGTTAATGCAGCAGAAGGAGGGGATGCCATCCAGAGGGACCTTGATAAACTCAAAAGGTGGGCCCTTGTGAACTAGTGAGATTCAACAAAGCAAAGTGTGAAGCTTTGCACTTGGGTCAAGGTAATCCCAGGTATATATACAAACTGGGAAAGGAAATCTGTGAGAGCAGCCCTGCTGAGAAGGGCTTAGGGGTCCTGGTGGATAAAAACTGAACACAAGCCATGTGCTCTTGCAACATGGAAGGCCAACAGTATCTTGGGCTCCATCAGAAGAGGGGTGGCCAGCAGGGCAAGGGAGGTGATTGTTCCCCTTTGTTCTGCCCTCGTGAGGCCCATCTGGAGTACTGCATCCAAGTTTGGGGCCCTCAACACAGGAAGGATGTCAAGCTTTTGGAGAGGGCCCAAAGGAGGGCCATGAAGATGATCACAGGGCTGAAACACCTCCCCTATGAAGATAGGCTGAAGGAACTGGGCTCGTTCAGCCTTGGGAAGAGAAAACTGCAAGGAGATATCATTGCGGCCTTCCAGTATTTAACAGGAGTTTATAAACATGAGGCAAATAAATGTTTTACATGGGTAGATAGTGGTAGGACTAAGGAGAATGATTTTAAACTTAAGGAAGGGAGATTTAGATTAGATATCGGGGAAGTTTTCTACTGAGAGATTGGTGAGGTGATGGAGCAGATTGCCCAGAGAGGTTGTGGATGCCGTGTCTCTGGAGGTGTTTAAAGTCAGGTTGGATGGGGCCCTGGACAATCTGATCTAGTACTTAGAACTTTCGATTGTGTCTAACCCTAGCCATTCTGTGATTCTCATTTCATACTTCTAACCAGGTTTGGATTTGTGAATCTTGCAGAACGCTGGACCTCACCCTTTACAATCCTTTCCTGCTATCAGATACCAAAAATTGCCAGCATTAAGAGACTGGACTTTTCACTGAATGTTTTATACTCCAGGCCTCATCCAGTATTGATCACGAGGCCTGTAACTATCGGTTACTGGGACCAGTCTTGTTCAGTGTCTTCATCAATTACCTGAATGAAGGGATAGAGTCCACCCTCAGCAAGTTTGCGGATCATGTCAAGCTGGGAGGAGAGACTGATATGCCAGAAGGCTGTGCTGCCGGTCAGCAAAACCTGGACAGTGTATTAAGTTGGACAGAGAGTAACCTGATGAGGTTCAGCAAAAGTAATTGTAGGGTCTTGCTCCTGAAGAGGAATAACTGCATGCGTTAGTCCAGGTTCAGGGCTCCGGAAAAGGGGCTCTGCAGAAAAACACTTGAGGGTCCTGGTAGACAACAGGTTGGCCAGGATCTGGCAGCGTGCACTTGTGGCCAGGAAGGGCAGTAGTGGTATCCTGGTCCTGCTGGAATGTGGCCGGTAGATTGAAGGAGGTTATCCTCCCCATCTCTGCCCTGGTGGGGCCACGTCTGGATTACTGTGTGCAGTTCTGGGCTCTTTAGTTCAAAAAAGATGGAACTTGAGAGAGTCCCGTGGAGGCCATGAAAACAATGAGGGGCCTAGAACATCTCCTGTACAAGGAAAGACTGAAAGACTTGGGACTATTCAGCTTACAGAAAACAAGACTGAGAAGAGATCTCATAACTGTTCATCTGGAATTCAGAAGTCAAATGAATGGGTCCAGGCTCTTTGCAGTGGTGTGCAGTGACAGGATGAGGGGCAGTGGGCAAAAACTGCAGCGCAGGTTGGGGTTGGCCTCTTCTCCTGTGTAACTGGTGATAATGCTGGTGGGAATGGCCTCAAGTTGCACCAGGAGAGATTCAGGTTGGATATTAGGAAACATTTTTTCTCAGAGTGATCAGGCACTGGAGTGGGCTGTCCAGAGATGTGGTTGACTCACTGTCCCTGGAGGTGTTCAAGAAACATTTAGATGTTGTACTAAGAGATATGGTTTAGTGGGGGAATATTGGTGGTAGGTGGACAGTTGCACTGGATGATCTTACTGATCTTTTCCAACCTTGGTGGTTCTATGACCTTGTCAGATTGGATGGGGCCCTGGGCCCTGCTCTAGCATTAGGTGGGAAGGTTGGTGGCCCTGCATGTGGCAGGGGGGTTGGAGATTCATGATCCTTGAGGTCCCTTCCAACCCTAGCAATTCTGTGATTCTGTGTGATTCTGTGATCTTCTGTTATGTGAAATCCAGGCAGTGCTGCCTGTTCATAGGACCACTCCAAGTCCCATGTGATACCTGGTACAGGTGCTTAGTTTAGACACAGTACACCCATCTGATGAGTCAGAAACTTTGCAGCATCAGCTTGTTGAGTAGAATGGCTTCTAGCAAGTCCTGATTGTACTGCAGCACTCTTGTTGCACCCATCACAAAAGAGTGACAAAGTACAACATTACAGTGTTTTAACTGTAAAGCAAGGAAAGTGTCTGTGCACTACCAGTTTTATAGCACTGTGCTAGAATTTTTAAAGCTTTTGTTCCATAGTACTGATGTTTGAAATAGCTGGGAGATTCCTGGCAACAGAGGAGGTGATCTAAATTCTAGACATTGAGGTGTGATCAGCATAAACGTTCCTATCTAAGATCTCGATTTATCTTGTTTTCTGTCTGCTGAAAAGCAGACAGTTCTTATATTAGTTTTTAATTTTTAATGTCTGGAGTAAAAGATCACTTCTTTGAGAATGTTGTGTTTGTTGTCAAATCGGTTTCTCAACAGATTACTTTCCAAGATTCTCAAGTAGGCTTGCTGACAACCTGTGCTGACCATATTGGAGTGTGAATGAGTTTGCACTCTGAATGATTTCTGTCAGTACTGACAACTCCCAAATTGATCTCTGCTTCAGGGATAAACTAAAACTGTTATTACTGTTTATTTTCAACCAGCTTCCCTCCATTGTATCTATCTATGTATCAACATCCTGTTATTATGGACTATCTACTTGATCTTATATCTTGCTTCTTCAAAAAGCAATCCAGAAGATGAGATAGGATGAAGTATTTGAACTATCTGCTGTGGCCAAAGTAGTTTTGGGCTTAGGATATACTCTATGCCTTTTCATAAATATTTCAGACATCCTAAAGCTCTAGAAGTGCTTTTCAGACCATTGTCCCTTTGTGAATATCAGACGCCTTTATCTCATATTTTTGATGCATGGTGGCTCTCAAGGGTAAAGTTTTATGCTTGGTTCTGAGGAGAATGTTCTTATTAAAAGTTGATGAAAGTTAATAAAACAGATGAAATTTGAAAAAATGTGCAGATTTGAGATATAAGATCTTCCTTGAAGATCTGTCTCCAAGCAACAAGACTACCATTTGGATACACAGGGCTGACTAGAATGAGAATATTAAAGATGTTAATATATGAAAATAAGCAAATACAAATAAATTACAAAATTTAATAAAATACTGTCTAGGAATTATACTGTAGAAATGATATTATGGGTAATAGCGTGGAGGGAGCTATTAAACAATGGATGTTGGGTTTTTTGTCTACAGAGTCAAAATGTTCACTACTATTCATTAGAATTTTTATTCATTAGAATGATTACTGTGCAATTCTTTTCTTTTTCACCCTTAGTTTGGATAATGTTACTAAACTGATGTGTACTAATCTGTCACCAAATGAAATCTGTATTTTGTGTAAGTAGTCTGTGTTCATGACTGTCACTGCTTTCTCAGACCTTTCCCCTTTCTCTTCTCACCCTTATGCTAGGGAAGGAAGGTTCTGGATAAATTGCAAGAACTACGGATACATTTTACAGTTCTGAAAGGAATTACTGGGGCAGAGAGGTTAGCATCAAGATGTCAAATTGTTAATAATGCTGCAGAAATTTTTCTTGAAACAGAAAGTTTAGATGGAGCAATGTGGGTGTTGAGAGGTAAGCTTGTCTTAAAAGAACAAGATTTTTACATTTAAATTTGAACAATCCCATTTTTTAAAGATTTAAAGTAAAACTTACAAATTGATCTTTGTTATTAAGTAAATGTTTTAATACCGGTGCAGCAAAAATAAAATGTGATCCATCTTTTTATTTAGCATTCTGCTTGATATGTGGAAGAAATATTATAAGTAATGCAACTTTTTTCAGATAAGTTTTCATAGTATTCTAATGTCTATGCTATTCTATTTTATAACATAGTGGAGGGGGTAGAGAAGAGAATGCTAGTTGGAAGGTGGCTTGCCCCATGTAAATTTCCCTTGAGCAAGGTGAAATTCAGTGCAAAAGAAAGTTCAGGCTTGGAGGATTGCAGTGTTTATTCCCCCCTCACAGTACATTCAACAGCTTTTATTAAATATTAAATTTTTATTCAATAAAAAAAGAAGTTACAGGCTTTCTGCAATTCAGCCCCGCTGCAAGAAAAACCTCAGAAGTACATACAGAGTAGAAGGTGTTGCATAAAAACGTCCATCACCTAAATTTGCTATCCAAGTTTATGTAAATAAATACATACACATTTATATACACACACATATATTTATATACACTGCTTACAGTTCATTCCACTACTATACTATTGAATGAAAGGGGTGACTTCTAACACTCTAAAAATACATTTGAAAAGTACTGGTTCTAAGGAACAAATTGCTAATAATTCAAACTACATTGAATGTGAAGTTAGGAGATTTGTTGTCTGCTACAGTTTATAGTGTACTTTTAACAGCCAAATGTCAGAAGTTTAGCAGTTTTAAATCATAGAAATAATACTGTGCTGTTCTTTGCCACAGAGTCAGAGTGGATCACCAATGCACCACTGTGGCCCTGCACTGAAAATGACATTGTGGATCGACATAACCTGTTATTTTCACTAATGCACAAATACATGAGGCAGAGTTTCTACAGGCAGGCATTTGAAGTTCTGCAGAACTTGCCAGGTTTCCAAATTGGTTGCGGTAAGTAAAGAGACATGCTGTGTTAAGAACTAACAGTTTAACCAGTTAATCTGTACTGTTCTTTCTGCTTGTAGGTATTAGCTTACTTGCAAGACTATGTCGTTAGATGTTCTAAAAAAGACCTGTTCCTTGAAGTGTGGCATGAATACAAGACTGCAATGCAGAATGCCTTTCTCGGTGCCCAGGCAGGCCACCTGCTGCAGCAGGGTTTTGCCCACATTGTCGGATGGAGTGGGCCTCAGGTGGCATGGGCTGGCGCGGGCTAGATGGTCAGCAGCGAGGGGGGCTGCTGCAGTTGCTTGCGCAGCTTCTGCTGGCAGATTGTGGCAGGCAGGGAGCCATGATGGAAAGCGGGCTCTCCTTGTTTCATCATTTTGTTCGGTAGCGCTACCATATCTTGCGTATCTTCAATGTCAAATGGGTCGTCCATTGCAAGAAATGATCTTTTTCTTCTCATTTGCACATCCAGGTGCTTTGTTTTACATTTTCTCTTGCCTGATGGTTTCTTGGCCTCATCCTGTTTTTCCAGCACAGGTTTGGGATGGCTCTGCTGCTCAGCCAAAGTCAGGGCTGGAGCACAGCTAAGCTGAGCCTGCTTTTTCCCGTTCCCACTTGTGTTGTTGTATGAAAAACTTCTTGTGAGCAGAGATGCCAGTGGTACTGGCAAAGATCTGCAGATCTTCTTGGCCTCTAGGATAGATTCACACTGCTGTCTGTGTGCAAGGTTCGCCCCTTGGCTGCCTTCATTCTGCAGTCTCTCGTCATAGCGCTTACGCTTCATATCCAGTGGTGGACGTGGTTGTTGGCTTATATGTCCAGCATTTTTGTATATAGAATGGCTCTTTATCTGGCATGTCTCTTTTGAGAGCTCTTTTCCCTCTGGAGCCTGGAATCATAAAATCATAGAATTGTTCGGGTTGCAAGAAGGCCTTAAAGATCATCAAGTCTAACCGCCCTAACCGTACTAGCCTAACTCTAACTACCCTCGGCTCAGTCATGGCCCTGAGCACCACATCCAAATGGTTTTTAGACCCATCCAGGGATAGTGACTCAACCACCTCCCTGGGGAGCCTGTTCCAGTGCTTAACCACCCTTTCTGTGAAGTTGTTTTTCCTGATATTCAGCCTAAACCTCCCCTGGTGCAACTTGAGGCCGTTTCCACTCATCCTATCAACAGTGAGAGGAGACCAGCCCCGTTCTCTCTGCAATCACCTTTGAGCTAGAAGAGCAAGAAGGTCTCTCCTCAGCCTCCTCTTCCCCAGGCTAACCAGCCCCAGTTCCTCTAGTTGCTCCTGGTAGGGCATATTCTCCAAGGCCTTCATGAGCCTTGTTGCCCTTCTTGGGACCTGCTCCAGCACTCAGTGTCCTTTCTGTACCCAAACAGGTGCCCAAAACTGAACACGGTACTTGAGGTGGGGCCTCACTGGTGCTGAGTGCAGGGGCAGGATTCCTTCCCTAGCCCTGCTCAGCACACCATTCCTGATCCAAGCCACAATGCCTTTGGCCTTCTTGAGCACCTGGGCACACTGGCTCGTATTCAGCTGACTGTCCATCGGTACACCAAGGTGCCTTTCCATCAGGCAGCTTTCCAGCCACTCCTCCCTCAGCCAGTGG